GGGGGGGAAAGGAGCTCCTTTTTTTGGGAAAGGCTCTGCAAAACGTGGAGTAACTCTCAGGTGTCCCTCTTCAAAGGTGTGGGGTCTGAGCTGCGAATTGGAAGCAAGGAGCAGCGAGTGCCTGGCATTTCTTAAAAGTGATGAATATGTACTGAATCTAAAGCTAGGCACTAAAATACCGGGGTCATAAAGCTCACGTCATACTATACCCCCTCATTTCACACCATACCACCAGGCTTCAGAGCGATACCGCACCAGGAGGACGTTCTGCGTTGCCTAAGAATCCTTCACTTAATTAATTTCCAGCATTTTCCCTGTCAAAACGACCACGTTGGAAAGATTTATTCCCCCATCCCCGCCCCGCCAACTTAGCAGCAGGCCGTGCCATCGGGGATGCTGCAGGTCTGATGCGTTTCTGGAAGCTTTCGAATGTTTCTTTTTCTGTTATAATCCGTATGGAAATTACCAGCATCTTGCCCAGAAGCTCGAACGTATAAGTCAGAGCATGAAGAGAGATAAAAATGGCATTTGGGATAAATAGCAACAGCGGGGAGGGAGAAGGGAAACCAGAACAGACGACAGGAGGTGGGTGGGATATTGCAGAGCCATCGCACGCATGGAGGGGCACGAGCCCTTCGTCTTCCCTCCTCGCTTTCCGTGAGAGGTTTAGGGATGGCATCGGACAGCCCGGGCATCTGCCTGCCCAGAGGGGGTTTGATGGGTCCCCAGAATTGTCACCGCGATCGTTTCGCTGAGCACAGGGACTTCATTTCCTAAGCAGGATCCAGCCACAGTGCAAATTTAAAAAAGAGACTTCCCAGGGAGGCCGGCAGCATCCTATCGCTCCGACTCCCCTTCAGGTTGGTGGTCTGTGATACCCAGAAGGAAAATAAAACCAAAATCCCACCGGGAGCCCGGTGTGCCCTGCTCAGAAGAGAGGCACGCTCCTTAGCCAGAGGAAAGCAGCCAGAACCGGGCGACACACACACATGTCCAGCCTAAGCGCATCTGTCAGGAGCGACGTTGCCAGACTTGATCCTACGTCGGGGCAGAAAGGATGCACTAGAAGGGTTTTCAGCCTCTGGTTTGTGGGTCCCAAGCCCCCCTTCACCCCCAAAATGGAGGGAAAGATGCAAATGTAATTCCAATTAAGCAGCAAGCAAAGGTGCGTGGCAGCAAACCGCTCTAAGTTTTGAGGTCTCTGCAGAAAACTGAATTTAAAGACTACAAAGCACCAGGAAGAGCAACGTGCAGGTTGCTTTGGTCCACCCACAGTGCCGTTTGGGTTCCCGGGCCGAGGAGGCACGGCACAGTACGTGGCCGGACTCTGGCAGAGGCACTGTTCATGCCGTCCCCCTCTTCATCATCCCAGGGGGACGCAGGGCAAGCCAGGAACCCCCAACTCCCCCCAAAAGCACTGCATCCCGCTCAGGGGATGCTACAGCACCCAACGGCCAAGCACCCTGTGCCATACCGATGACGGCGCGTCCCTTCCGCAGTCCGGCCTGTCCTGTCGGCTCAACTCTCCGTCGCAGCACTTTCAGCACCGTCAGCATCTTTCCGGCTGAGGCACCAAACCCGAGCTGCTCCCAGCCACGGCGGCCGAGGGCCCGCAGTTTGTTTGTCACCCTCAGCCGCAAGGCAGGACTCCAACCGTCCCCCTTCTTGTATTCTCCTGGCTACTCCAGCCACCGGCAACTTGGAGAGGAGGCGTCAAAGCAAGCTCCCTGATCAGCAAGGCACAGACTCCGACGCAGGAGAGAGGATAAGGCAAGCTGAGAAGTTTTCCCCGACTCTCGCTCCATCCAGCAGCCGTGCATGCTTCTACTGTGGTCGCTCGTCCTCCCCTCGATGGTCGCGAGCCCGTCCCACAGCTCTAACCCCGGACACGACTTAACCATCTTCCCCCCTCTTCACCAGGCAGCTACGGGCAGGGTAACTCAGCTCCACCACCCCGGGCTTGGGTCGACTCGTTTGTCTTTGCCGAATTAAATATCCCTCCTGTAATCCCCACAGCTGCAACGATATTTACTCCTCGTCTTTAAGTACTGGGCAACATCGCTGTGCACCCTCCAAACTGGCTTCACCCAAGGGGCAGCTGTTCCCTGCATTAAATAAACTACAGGGTTTGTATTTGATATGGGGAAAAAGGCTTGATCTGCCCG